TACTTTTCCCCGTCGAGATCCACATTAATCGGCTGTAGAGCGCGAAACACCATCATTTCCGTCGCACCAAGTTGCCCGCCGCATTTTGTCAGACGGCAATCGGAGCACAAATGCCGCGCTTCATAAATTATTCATGCAGACCAATCGATGTTTCGCGAAGCTGTGAAATCGAAAAATTGCTGCCACGTCGATAGACACGATGGATACCTGTATCAAATTGGACTTTCGGCGTATTCCTCGACGTGTGAATTCCTCAAGTTTTCACCTCTTTCTCCTTTTATTTCCAACTCCGACATGAGATCGCGTAATTGAAAGCACGCATTCATCGAACAAATGGAAGATACACGTCTTTCTCTCTCTCTCTCTCTCTCTCTTTCACTCCCCGCGACCTATTTTTCCGACACCCTAACAGAGTTATGACGAGCTGACGGTGACGTCACTGGCGCGCTGACGTCACTGGCACTTCCTTACGTGACCATTCAGTGTGACCTCATTTCTCTCTCCCTTCGAATTTCGCCCTCGCTGATTCGCGTCCCTCCATCCGTCTGTCCTTAAAGCTTAATGGCCGCCCCATTCATGTGAATATTCCACTGGCGCGAGACGTTACTCTATTTCATAAAATAGTTTGTTATGCGGTCGTCTAAATGTGAGATTCCCGATAACGGCCTCGATGTTTCTTCGACAATAAAAATTCTACCAGTATAGTGCCGTCTATTCCCGTCTCCTCTCCTATATTGCTCACGTGAGAAGAGATTGTAACCACCACCGAAAGGTTCCTTATCCGTGAAAACTACCACAATATACCTATTGTGGAGAGGAGATTACTCACTTCGTGTATGTACATTTATTGAGTTATTGTTTTTAACAAGGATCTCCTTCGTTGACAAAGCGCAATTTATCGACGGACTGTGATTTCCGAAAGAAGACGAAACAGCGAGTCGTAATGTTCCAGTTTTAAAAGTTGCGAACGTATGGCACTGAATAGCCGAATTAAACGCCCGTATTACATACTTCTGGTTAAGCCGCGATGTAAAGCTACGAAGCTTAGTTAGTTAGAAATAACAAAGAGATCATTTTCAGAATAATTGAACACGTTCGATCACTGCGAGATTGAAGGACAAAATAGGCGCGTTAACGGCTCAGTGGTAAATCCAGATATTCCGCCGACATAGGAAAATTCCGCGTTCGATGGAGACCGAGCAAAAATTGGTTTCACGTCTACCGCCTCGATAAAGAAATATCACAAGAGGAAGAGGAGAATTATCAAGCTGATAATTGGAACTTTTACATTGAAACGGATATTCATACGATACAAATGGGAGAATTGTACGTACTAAAGATTGTAAAATGATTACGCTAATTGAAAAATCGCGTTTTTCTAACATAGAATCGATCGTCACGTCTAATCATTCCTAATAATTTCACTATGTGTGCACGTTAGTTTAATCAAATATAATTTGGACTAAATAGATTCGTTTCCACGCGTCGTTTTACCTTGATTAATTACTGAACCACGTATAATAGCGTTTAAATTGACCGTTAAAAGAAAATCAAAGTCCTTCCGAAGTTACTTGGCTCTACTTATAAAACTTGGTTCGAAGTAAGGTCAAAGCATTTCCATTTAATTTACCTCACAATACCGCGTGCGCTGAAATGACGTTACAAATTAGAACGGAAAAGCAACTTATCACGTGCCGCGTTTTTAATAATAACTACAGCTTAATAATAACCGCACTTTTTCCGTCTTTTGTTAACCGCGAGCAAAAATATGTTTTACATTAACGTTCGTAGATCTCGAGCACGGAAATTACTAGGACGACACAGTCCGAATTTGACGATTAACTCGTTGTGATATTCAATCGCGCACATTTTTATCATCACGAACCGCGCCCTTTGCAAGTACCATTCTCCGCTCGCGATTTTATAGCGTAAGTTTAACGGAGCAAAAAAAGGCGACGCCCTGCGTCCTTGAGGCTAGGAGTATCGATAAATGTCACAGTAGCTCTCAAACCTACTCAAATAAAACTCGAAACTGGGTTAGCTTTTTGCCATTTTCAATGAAACTATCCATTTAGTGCGGCTCTAATTAAAAACTTGCGATAAAGGCGGAAGAATATACACTCTGAAAACGCGATAATTAAGCTGATTGGTATCTTACAGTTAGTGAGTTGTTGTTTGTCGCTCGATAAATCTTTTGTGAGCATCAGATAATTTAGCTTTTTTATTAATTTCACGTTGCCGTTGTTATTAAATTTCGCAGTAATAACGGAATACCGACATGTTGATTTGTCGACGAATTTTAACGGTAAAGAGATCCTGATTTTTTGCGCATCGCATGCATCCAACTTTTGCGTACATAATATTCCGCGCGGATAACTCCTAGCAATCCCCGAGGCGAGTTTCGTCAAGATTTAATACCACGGATATTCAGCTACTAGACTGTCGTTACTCATTCGAGGCATCAATCTCGCTGTCGATTGATAATCGAACAAATCACGCGGTAACACCAACTATTAATCGTATGGAAAACTGCTGATTAAACCGAACAAGCTACGGAATAAGTATTCGCATAGCGTTCACATCCGCTATCCTGGCCGGATTCTACAAGATGAAGTACGAATTCCGGTAGCAAATGAATTTTCGCTTGTTCGCGGTTGACTTAATATCTATGCAGATTCGAGCGAGCGAGCGAGCGCATGCCTGCGGAATTGGCCGACTTTTTGTCACTTTCGGGGACGAATTTCCTTTATTATATATATTACACGCCACGAGCGTGTCATGTGCCGCGATTCTAATTGTCCGTCTGGAACGTCATTCAGTTCTTAATTGCTTCGCGCTTTAATTAAAACGACCAAATTGACCGCGCAAAACTATTGCTGCTCTAAACGCACGCTCCAAATTTTCTGACCGGCATTTATCTCGACGCATAACTGCGTAATTTTACGGTCGTCTGTTTCGGCAAACACTCTGCAAAAAGCACTTGATGCAGCTGACTATATTGTATAACGGATATTTATAAAAATAAAATCCAACTGCTCTCCTGCATATATTTTGCTACGAACGTAACGATTCGCGAAGCTCGCAATTGTGCGACCACCCTCGATTTTGCATACTTCGCGATTTTAATTATTTCGGGTTATCGCGCATCGAAAGCGCCGTGCGTTCGTCGGTTATGTATATTTAATTACAATTGATTTTATAGACGGTGGCTGCACGAGGATAATTGAATTGCGTCCCGTTCGATAAATACGTATCGGAAGTTCTCGCCTTTAATGAAATTGGACGTTGTCTAAACTCGATTCTTTAATATTGTCTNATATACATATATATGTGTGTGTAACGCGAAAGGAACACTCGCGATTACGTGAGATCAATTTTCTATCGCACGTACTTTATTTAAGCGAGTTTCACTACTTATTTCATAGTAGCCTCGATCACAATCCCTCGAAGCGAGTTTTTCCGACGAGCATTCGTGTAATTCTTGAAAGAGAGAGAGAGAGAAAAAGAGAGGAAGGACATCTCTGACGCTAATGCTATTGCCACCTGAAAGCTCGGCTAGTTTTCACGAGGGGATTTTACCCGAGAGAGACATGGCCTAAGCGCGCGCAATCTCGACGAAAGGAATTCCGTGAATAGCAATCAGCGGAGCACGGTTAATTGCATTAAAGACTATCGATCCATCGACAAAGAGCGGGGGGCGGGGGGGGGAGGGGAGGCGCAATCCGATGCATGCGTCGCGCCGCATACGATCGTAATTAGTCAATTTATGGAATGCGCGTCTTCCGCTGCGGATTCTTTAGCGACACGACGCGTTTCATCGGGCTTTAATTTTCGTCCGAATGAGATTCATTCGCGATCGTAGAATCGAAATAGACTCGACCGGTGCTAGACAGCGGCTCCTATACCCGGTTAATTAACAGCCGTTCTTCTTTTGTAGCGGTAGATCATTATCTCTCTCTCTCTCTCTCTCTCTCTCTCTCTCATTATTGCGATCATGAGCTGTAAAATGGAGGGGAAGCGTGAAAGAATCTGTTTCCGCCAAATATTGCTAATAATTCTATATTTCGTGTACGATGAATCTGATAAAGATAACTTTGAAACCTTGGCCTTAAAGATGATTTATTAATGGGATCCGGGACAATTTTGATGTCCAGAAGAAGGGGGATATATATCCGAAGTTCTATGAAACATTTGGAACGACCGAAAACCTGAGAATAAGCCGACAGCAGAAACGTATGAAATTAAATAGCCAAGCCCGAGTTATACTCGGGCTTCAGCAGTTGTCGTCTGCGCGCTACCCCGACCTATACTCGGGCTTAGGACAAAGGGTGATAATGAAGACGCGATCAAGCATACTTCGTATCCCTTCGATCTTCCCGGGGGCGCACAGACGAGATTTGAAACAAAAGACTTCACACGATTGTGCTTAGGTAATAATCGCAAAAAAAAAACAGTAAAAAATGTGTTAAATTTAATACGTTGACTGCCAACTACGAGATATCTCGTAGGTTGTTTACTTGCCCAGGACGCCAACTACGAGTTATCTCGTCGCTTCATTACTTCATTAAATCAAATTGGCTTCTTAGACCAGAATCGTGAAAAGTTCCGTGGCAGTCAACGTGTTAATACATTTTACATGTTTCGAACAGTCCACACAAATTCTTGTATTAATTTAACATGATAAGATGAATATGTTGAAAAGTAACAAATATCAAGAATTAACACAAAATTAAAATATCTATAATGGTCGACACTCAAGTATAAAATGTGTTACTTGAACCTATTGAATATCGATTCAACACAAAATTTATTGAGATACAATATGTTAAATTAACACACGGGTATGTTAAAAATTTAGTAAAAATATTTTAACAAAGACAGATTTTAAGTACAAAATGTTGCTTGTGATATTTCGTCAAGATGACGCTTTTAATTCGGCATGTTAAAGTCACTTGCCTTCAGAACGGCTTCATTAATCGCGCGCCTTTCTTACGTTTCAGGACATCGATTACGAGGGTTTTCGCAAGTTTCTGAACACGTATCTGGAGATCGACACGCCCGATGAACTATGCCGACATCTCTTCCTTTCGTTCGTTAGGAAGAGCCCGCGTGTAGACAGCAAGGCTTTCAAGGTGCGTATCGCAATTTTAGGCTAAAAATCGCTGCTACGAACGGGCCGTCTATTACCGCGACGATAAAAACTCGCGCAAATTGGATACAGAGGGGCGGACAGAAGAAATTCGCGCAAAGTAGCATTACGGGGCCCTTACAGCCGCAATGGTCATGTCGGAACAGAAGTGCCTTTTGAAAAGCGAAAAATTAAGAATACGGTCGGGGATTAAAGCGATATTATCCGCGTTTGTTCGTTTCCCAGGAGATGGCTGTGCTCTCCTCGACAACTGCCTGCGCTGCAATTACATCGCACACGACTTCTAGCAGTAACGTTAATAGCACCGGCATACCGGTCGCCGGCATCGCTGCCGAGAGCCACAGCAGCGGGTCCTCGTTGGCCGACAAAATTCACGGAATTACGGAAAAATTGCAAGCGCTCAGCCATCACAGAACGGAAAGTGAAGTCTCAAAGACGCGAACAGGTAAAGGGTAGAGAGAAAAAGCGGGTCGAAATTTTAGATTGCTTTTAGACCGATTTTCATCGTCAAATCTTGTATTTAAGACGTCTCCCGTATAGTATTTTCAGATGCTATCATTGACTCATTTCATTGACTGCGAAACATCTGAAGATGAACTTAGGCTAATCTTATATATATATATATATATAT